GAAAGCACCTTAATCAAGAGATCAGGGGACCTGCCCCCCCCCAGTAATTAGACATAATACCATGCATCCCCTGATACAGTGCACTGAGAAGAGCACCTCATGTCTTGATGGTCTCCCCAAAAATCCATAATCTTTACCCAGTCATGAGGAAACACCAGGCAAAACCAGACTGAGAAACAGGCTACAAAACGTGTGACCTGCATTGTTCACGGTGAGGGAAGGCGGAAGAATGGAGACAGATTGGGGAAGCCTAAGGAGGCAGGACCACTGGATGCGCGGTGGAATCCGGAGCAGAGCGGGCACGCTTGTGAGAAACTGGCGCTGTCTTCCTAAGGCCCGTGGCTTTGTTAATAGTACTGAGTCCGTGTTACTTTCTTAGTTTTGATCATTTTGCTAATACCGTTACAGAAAATGTTAGCATTAGGGAAAGTGAGGTGAAGGGCATAGGGAGTCCTTACTGTATTGTTGCACCTCTTCTGGAAATCTAAAATTATTGCAGAATTGATGGTTAAATAATACTGAAGTGAATCCAGCATTGCATGGCGTAAGTCTTATGGCGGAAAACAGAACACGAAATGTCTGAGGGACACAGCAGCCATCACTGTAGGTGTTAACTTGCAGGCCAGGGGTACAGAACGCATGAGGCTGGACTGGTGTTTCGTTTCCAGCAAGGCCAGGCCAGACCAGAGGAGGCTGCCCAAGTTCCTGTCTTCCTAATGGTTTCCCAAAGTCAGATGATAACGTGGGATCTTCTGTTATCCTCTGTCACTGGGAGGCACTTGTCTGTGTTCGCACAGTGGCTGACACACGCACGCATTCCTCGGTTCAATGGAGGAATGAATTTGGTTGGCGCGATGAACACTAACCCTGCATTTGAATAGAAGGTGATAAATCCTGCCCAGCCCTGCCGCATTCATGTCGCTTCGCTCTCGCTCACCCCTCACGTCCTCTCAGACGCTGGTAAGCAGAAAGCTGCAGACTGGGGCGCCTGGGTGGCTCAGTGGGTTAAAGCCTCTGCCTTTGGCTCAGGTCATGATGTTAAGGTCCTGGGATCAGCCCCGCATCGGGCTCTCTGCTCAGCGGGGAGCCTGCTTCCCCCTCTCTCTCTGCCTGCCTCTCTGCCTACTTGTGGTCTCTGTCAGATAAATAAATAAAACTTTAAGGAAAAAAAAAAAAAGGAAAGCTGCAGACTGAATAAAGCACATTAGCTAGGTTCCTGTGAAGAAATAAAAGGGCTTTTATTTTTAAGTGCCTTTCCATGGCCACTTGTTAAACCTGACAATTATTAACTTGCTCAAAAATAGCTGCGTATCCCGGTGCCAGGGAAAGACACAAAGGTGGTGGCGCACAGGGAGGACTCTGTCGTCACACTCGCTCTAGCCCCGGTCTTTCGTCTTCACCAAGATACTAAATGTCTACCCTCACTTTCTCACAGTAAGGAAACCTCATGGGTTTTTAAGAAGAAATCCTCTTTAGAGAGCTTAGATCAGCTTCTGGTCCGCAGTAAGCACTTAGGAAAGAGAAGATGACAGCGTAGTCATTGCAGCAAACCTTTATTCAACAGCCGCTGTCTACAGCCCGCATGCTAAGTGCTGGGAGGACAGATGTGTATCATTTCTCCCTTCCCTTCTCTCAAGAAATGCAGTCTGATGGGGAAAATGGATAAGTAAAACAGTACGAAAAATTGCTCTTTTCCTCTCGAGTAGCTTACTCAGTATGTTTCAGTAGCATGCCTAAGGCATTATATTATATCTACTTACAAGTGTACTTGTCTGCGTATACCCATTCATTGTCAGCAACTTACACTCACAATAATGTGATAAAGTATAGATATTGTCCCCATTTTGCAAATGAGGAGATCAAGGCTCTAAGAAGTAACTTGCCCAAGGTCACACATTTACCCAAGCTCAGTAGACAACCCAGGATTTGATCCTAATCTACCTGACTCCAAAGTCTTCCTTAACCCATACCTCATAGGATTACAAATACAATGCTTAGTTGCTTTGACAAGGTTATAGAAGACATCTGGGGACGCCTGCGTGGCTCCATCATTTAAGTGTCTGACTCTCAATCTCTGCTTGGGTCTTAATCTCAGGGTCGTGGAGTTCAAGTCCCACATCAGGCTTCACACTGGACAAGGATGGAGCCTACTTAGTAGTAATAATAATGACATCTGCATATATGCTACTGTAATAGCTCTAGTGAATCTGATTGTCTTTTGGCATTTCTTTTAATGTTGCTACTGGCTCAAGTTTTATTTTCTTCAGTTCCCTACAGGAAACAGAAGCACACATCTACTTAGTACTACTCTCCTTATATGTTAACGTGCACTTTCCTTGTCTTAGATGTGTAAAGCCACAGTTGAGACTGGGCTACCACAGGCACAGCTCTGCTCTCCTAGCTCTTGCTCTCTTCTTGCCTGTGTGGTGTACCAGTGAGAGCCTCCGTAGTAAGGAGGCCAGGCCACCAGGCCCTGTCACTCCTTTGAGATGATACTTTCCACCAGATTTCAGGCAAGGCCAGATTGTAGGAGTTCCATAATGGCCCTTGAGATATTAAAACTTCACAGTGCTCTTTGGAGGGTACCCTCAACTTAGATGAGCTAAAACCCACCCTGGGATGATGGTTTAAAGGACAGCAATTATTGGACCTATTTCAGGATCTCCAAACACACATCTTAGAGCTTCTGGTGCTTGTCTGTGTGAGTGAAATTAACATTTTCCTCTTCGAATGTTATTTGAACATCTAGTCCTTGACTCATTTGAGAGTATAGTTTTTCTAGAAAATTAGAAATGCGCATCAATGAGGACATATGGGTTATGACGTCATACGAGTGGTTAGTCGTGGAGGTGGACTTGAGAAGATAAGACCTCTCCGACAGTCCTTTTGTAAGCAGAGTGTAGGGACTGAGCTGTGGTCCCATTATGAAGGGAGAGGCTGTCATTGCCTCCTCCTCCTGGGTGCCAGGGGCAGAGCCGGTGTTGTTCCACCAGGTGTAGACGGTGCCTGAGGCTCTTCCCCACATGCACCCTCAGTTGTCTTCTGAACCCTCAGGGTTCTCTGCACTTTTCTGCCCTTCCTGTACACTTCCTCGAAGTATCACCCCCTACAAGGCAGTAGTTGATAATGATGGCTTAGCCGAAGAAGGCAGCTGACATTTGACATCTGTGCTCCAGGCACGCTACGTGTTTAATCTCCTTTCATCCTCACAGCACCCTGTCTGGGTAGGTGGATCGTCACTACATTTATAGATATCGAAACTTAGGTTCGGGGAAGTTAAGCCATCTATGAAGGCGACCTAAAGCTAGAAAAGTGGGAAAACTGCTTCAGTTCCCATAACTTGAGAGACCGTACTCTGCCGTGAGGCTGTGGTGTTGGGATGGTGACTGCTCTCGCGGTCACTACTGCTTACCACCAGCTTGCATGTCCGTGAGCTACAAGAACGCTCCGCCTACAGCGTGCTGTGTGCCATAGTCTCAAGGGGTGACTCGAGTGCGGGTTTATGTCACCTCACTGACCCTCACGACAGCTCGCCGACTGCAGATGGTTATTACTTCAGCTTTACACATGGGGAAACCAAGGCTCAGAGACTGACACAAAGTCACTTAGCCAGTGAGTCTGGAGCTGGCAGTTTGATCCACTCCTCTTAGAACACTTTCACCTTGTTTTTTGAAGATTGATTCATTCTAGAGAGAGAGAATGCGCACAAGTGGGTAGGGGCAGAGGGAGAGGGGGAGAGAGAGTCTCAAGCAGATTCCTCGCTGAGCGCAGAGCCCGATGCGGGGCCTCATCTCAGGACCCTGAGATCATGACCTGAGCTGAAATCAAGAGTCGGGCTGTCAACCAGTTGTGGTACCAGGCGCCCCTTGGGACACCTCTGAAAGCTCCCTGTCCAGGCGGCACCGGACACTAGCTGGGAGTAGAGCCCGTTTCCGTCACGAAGGCAGTGTTCTCCTGCCAGGAATGTTTACAACAACACAAGACCATACTCGTGTAACTTAAAAAATAGTAGGAATTTGTGTCCTCAATAAGAGTATGAGACTCGATGAGCACTTAGCAAAAGGGCACAAGCTTGCATTTCTACCGGAACTCCCTGAAATTTGTCTTCTGGAATTTCCCTGCACAGAGAAGGCATCTGAGTACGGTGTTTCCAGAGTGCTTGCTGTGTGTCAGAGCTGCAGACTCAGTGTGACGAATGTCGTAAAAGGAAGACCATTGACTGTTGCAAGGTGTAATGCCAGTGCACTCCATCACTGAGTGAATGAGGGATGTGGTGAGAGGGGGCTGTGGCTGGCGGGCCGGAGAGCGACACCTGGTAATGAGCTATCCTGACGCATAGCTGCCCAAATCAGAATGTGTGGGCCAGCACTCAGGGAACTGTTACTCGGTTGCCTTAAAAGGTTTTTATCTTGCTACTCTGGGTAACGGCTGCAAGAGCAGCCAGTCACTCAGCTGTGTTTAGGGAAAGATCTTAAAATTTTATTCTTTTGCTTATTCCTTATAGACTACAAAAGTTAAAGCATTCTTGGGGTGCTTGGCTGGCTCAGTCGGTAAAGCATGTGGCTCTTGATCTTGGGGTCATGAGGTCAAACTCCATGTTGGGCATAGAGCTCACTGAAAAAAAAAATTTTTTTAATTAAAAAGAATGAAGAACTCTTAATCATGGAGTAATTGAAATTCTATAATTTCCTAATTCAAGTTGGTTGCCCACACCAATGGATCTTCTTTCAGCCTTAAAAATACGTGATTTATAAAGTCTTTTACCAACCTCTCACTCATTCTCTTTGAGAAGAAAACTTCATTTATTTATATATTCATTCAACAAATATCTGTGAAATACTTGATATTTTCTAGTCATTGTGCTCAGAGCCAGGGACACGGCCCAAGGTAGATGCCGTAGCAGGTGCTGCTGTCGATACAGCATCTTGTAAAATTTACGACGAGAAATGCAGTGTGGTTGAGAATATAGATGAAAGTAACATTTATTTCCATCCCAATAGATTTCGGTTTTGGAAATTTCTTTAAAAGTGGCGAACTGCTGGCAACCTGGTGTGGCAGCCCCCCTTACGCAGCCCCGGAGGTCTTTGAAGGGCAGCAGTACGAGGGACCGCAGCTGGATATCTGGGTACCTCTTTGCTTTGCTGTGTTAAATGCGTCTCTAATGGTAATAACTGGAACTCTGGCCCATCTTTGAAGCTCTTGGTACCTAAAACATAGTAGCATTTCCCTGTCCACTGGACTGTAATTAGAGCATTTTTGAATGGGGTTCTGGGAAGAACTGCTTGGGACAGATGTTATTACCTTAATATCAGCAATAATTTAAAATTAAGTAGTCATCAAAATGATTAAATTCAGATCTTTGAAAATATTTATTATAGGATATTTTATTGCAATAGAGTTTTAGTTTTGCTTTGTTTTGTTTTGAAATTCTGAGAAAATAGTAAATCCAAATGGGAATTTTTCAGCCCATACGATTTTAACAACCCTGGGGATGTTTAGGGAAACAGAGTGTTTACAGTCCTCAGTGGAAAAGTGACTGCGTTGTTTTCTTCCCTAGAGCATGGGAGTTGTTCTTTACGTCCTTGTCTGTGGAGCTCTGCCTTTTGATGGACCAACTCTTCCAATTTTGAGGCAGAGAGTTTTAGAAGGAAGATTCCGGATTCCGTATTTCATGTCAGAAGGTAACCTGTTTGTCTTACACTTGTTCTTTAAGGATTTGTGCTCCGAATGAAACTCCTCAGCGAAGGCTCAGAGTTTGGTGCCAAACAAAGTGACTGAGTCACTTGAGAAGCTATAGAAATAAGCAGCCCCCTCCATGTAGGTGAGGGAAGCTGTAGCCTTCCTACTTGTAACTGAAAACGGAAAGCTTTCCAGGTTAAGAACGGCAAGGCTTCGCATGTATTCTGGGTCTATAAATGTCCCCGGTTTATTTTAGACTTAGAGGAGCACCGTGCAGATAGGTTCACAACCATTTTACTCTAAGCATGAAATAGATTTTCCTGTATCCTTTGGTGAGAGGTTGCAAAATTGGGTTTTTTGATTAAATGAAAAACTGGCAAAGCTGTCGGATCAAGATGCGGGGCCCCGGCCCCGGCCCGTCTTGGATTAGCTTGTTCCGCGCGACCTGGGGTTTTGGTTGTCATCCTTAACTCTTGCGTTCCTAGTGACCGTAGAAGTACAGCTCTCTGGTAGCTGGGAGTGTAGACCTTAGAGCCAGGCTGCCTGGTTTTGATCCCGAGTTCACCACTTGGTCTGCCCTTGACAAGTTCGTCTGCTCTCTGTGCTTCCGTGTCCTCTGTCTACAGCACGGGAAGAGCAGCGCTTCCTGGTCCGGGTGCTGTGGGACGAATGGAGGTACTCTGTGTCCAGCACCTTGCAGGGTGCCTGGCACATCGCAGAGGGTATGAGGCTCACTTCTGTGGGGTGGTGGAGGGCATGGTGTCCGCTCCGAGAATAAGCTGGTGCCCGAGTCCCAGCCGTGCAGTTTTTGTGATATAATCAGAAGTAACTAATGCCTCGTGTGCGTTTCTCTCAGCTGCGCTGACTGGAGAAGAGCAGCAGGCCGCGGGAGAGCGGCCTCACACACACAGCCTCACAGAGGTGCAGCAGCCTCACAAGGACCTGGGGCTCCATGTGCGCTCCTTATAGGGGGAGGCTGGCTTTTGTCTTCAGTAGAACCTAAGTCTGTGTCTAGATCTTTTCACTCGAGAAATTCGATAGAAAGTTTCATTTAGCACCAAACTGGACAGACCTACACCCTCCTGATTTTCTTTCTTTTTTTTTTTTTTTAAGATTTTACCCATTTATTTGACAGAGATCATAAGTAGGCAGAGAGGCAGGCAGAGAGAGAGGAGGAAGCAGGTTTCCTGCTGAGCAGAGAGCCCGACACGGGGCTCGATCCCAGGACCCTGAGATCATGACCTGAGCCGAAGGCAGAGGCTTTAACCCACTGAGCCACTCAGGCACCCGCCCCCCTCCTGATTTTCTGAAGTACTCCTTCACGGTGATGGTTACTCTTGTGTCAGCATTCACCATGGGAACCTGACCGCTACAGCTGGCTTTCATGTGTTCCTTTATTCGTTTGACCTGCTTTCCAGTGGGCACTGTGGAGGACACAGAGATTAATGCCATTGTGCAGAGTCACATGAGTCAAGCCAGAACCCAGAAGTGCAAGGTGATTTACCTGACTTTCATAACATTGTGTTTTCCGTAGATTGTGAGCACCTTATTCGAAGGATGCTGGTGCTGGACCCATCCAAACGGCTAACAATAGCTCAAATCAAGGAGCATAAATGGATGCTCGTAGAAGTTCCGGTACAGAGACCTGTTCTCTATCCACAAGGGCAAGAAAATGAGCCATCCATTGGGGAATTTAATGAACAGGTTCTGCGACTGATGCACAGCCTCGGAATAGATCAGCAGAAAACCATCGAGGTAAAGTGACCAGAGATTTGACTGACGGTCTTTTGGCACAGCCACCCCCGCACCTGGGCGTACTGTTCAGTCTTCCCCGAGAATGTCAGTCAGACTCTAGTTCATGTGTGCTTTTTTATTCAGTATATAAATTCCTCCCTTTGCCCCATCTGCCAAAAAAATTCAAGAGATGGAGTTTATATGGGATTTGGGAAAGACAAAGACAGAAACTTAACAAAGTAGACAATTTCTTTTAAGATGAAGCTTGAAGTTTTATCCAGGGTGTGAGCTAGTCTATATGGATCATAGATGTACAGCTCGGAAACAAGGCTGGGGGCTGACCGGGAAGCAGGGAGAGCCGGCATCATGTTCAGGGGTGTGGGCTGTGATCTGCGGAGGCCAAGCGAGCAGAAACAGGTGGATTCCAGAATCGGAAGTACTCAGGGTCGTAGAACGGAGAGGGTCGTGAGCCTAGGAAATTCCCCCTCACTTTTATTTCTGTCCGTTAAGTAGTTAACGTATTCCTAGGAGAAACACATTTATTACCTCCACAGCAGTGCTCTCACGGAGCATAACGTGAAAGAATACAAAATGCCTCTTGTGAACTTAAAATGCTCCAAACCGTGGTGCCGCGAGGGAAGCCAGGCTGGCTCCCGGCTCAGCTCATCCCGAGCTCAGCGGCGTTTCTGTCCCCGCCACGAAGCAGATCTAGGACGCAGCTGGGAGGGCAGCCCGACGGGCCGTGCTTCCTGCCTGGCATGCTCCGCACCTGGGGTGCCCTGCGAGGCAGCCCTGCAGACGGTTCGGTGGAATTAGAAGCCAGGGAGCAGCTGTTCTGCGTTCTGCTGGGACCCTGGGAACGCTGGCGAGCGAGGGATGTGAAAAATGGGGAAGCAACTTTATTTTCAAGGCTTCAGGAGGGTGGGACTGCAAAAACAAGAGGAAAAAATTACCTAAGAACGGAGACACGGTGGCTCTCAATCCAGCCTCCCAGTGTTACTCTCCAGCCCAAAAGAATCACCAGAAATTTCCCCAAAGACTTTAATCATTCACTGCAGAGTTTGCAGTAGTTGGGACTTGTGTTGAAGTTAGGGAATTCGAGCTTGTGGGCCCAGGTTGTAAGCGACCGTACCCCGTAGTCACAGCTCGGGGATGGGACCGTGTGGCAGCCCTGGGAACTTGCGACATGAGACAGCGGTAGCATTTTTCCCGCATGCAGAAAAGCAAATGGAGCCTGTTACTGTGAAAGAGCCAGTCACTTAGAGGCCTCAGCCCTTGTGTAGTCACTTCTGGAAACTCAGACCTGTCTGTCTTCCTCCTGAATTCTGGAAGAGCTTTCATTCTAGACACACTTTGTTCGCTACCCTGCCTTCAGGAACACATGATTCCTCCTGCTTTTTCAGAAAGCTGGAGCTCACCACGCTGGTCCTTAACGCTTCTCCGCCTTCAGCACTTGTTTTCTCTTTCAGTCTTTGCAGAACAAGAGCTACAACCACTTTGCTGCCATTTATTACTTGTTGGTGGAGCGCCTGAAATCACACCGGAGCAGTTTTCCCGTGGAGCAGAGACTCGACGCCCGCCAGCGGCGGCCCAGCACCGTGGCTGAACAGACCGTTGCCAAGGTAACGCCGCATTAGCCCGGGGTCTCATCTTGCAGGTGCCTCTTCCCAGGTTTGACACATTCTCCATCTTGTCGTACAACAAAGGGTTAGGATCTCATCTACAAGCGGTTCTTCTGTAAGGTTTCTGCCCGTCACTTCCTAGATCCTCAAATGTTTTAGCATCTTCCTATTTCTTTTCTTTTTTAAGATTTTATTTATCTGTTCTACAGAGAGAGAGACAGAGCACGAACATGAGCAGGGGGCAGAGGAGGCAGGAGAGGGAGAAGCAGACTCCCCGCTGAGCAGGGAGCCCAATGTGGTGTCCATCCCGAGATCCTGAAATCATGCCCGTAACCAACTAAGGCACCCAGGCGTTCCCCATCTTCCTATTTCTAAGGATTAACCTTATTTCAGGTTTTTTTTTTTTTCTTTAGAGTTTTCTCTTCTTTAATCATTGATGGATGGTGGGAATCAATATAACTAGCCTGTACACTCAATTCCACTTAACAAATTTTTACTGAGATTTAGCCTATGCAAGCGTCTGTTCTTAGGCATGATAAGGGATGGGCTACGTAAAACCCGGACATGGCCCTCAGAGACATGACAGTGTAAAAGCAAAGTAAGACATCATCATAAATAACCACCATTCCAAATAGAGAAAGGTAAAGGTGGGAGAACCACCACGGGCAAAGGGGAGGGCGACACATCTGCCTAGGAAAGGCTTCGTGGGAGAGTTGGCATTTCCGACGGAGCTCAGATCTTCAGGGATGTGTAGGCCTCTGCTGGGGAGAGGCAGGAGTTGAAGGCATTGTGCGTAGGCAGCAGAAGCACTCAGTGGGCAGGCGTAGGGTGGTGAACTGAAGCGCACCGGGAAACGAAGAAGTTGGCATGGTGAGTTGAAGCCGTGCCATGAAGGGCTTCGGATGCCAAGGGAGGGAGTTTACGTACAATTCAGGAAATACTGCAGAACGACTGGAGACGCATATGATACAGTCATACCCAGGCTTTAAACGGACTCCTCTGCGACATCAGGAAGGGTAGATTGGACAGGGAAGAGAAGAGCTTGGGGGAGAGCAGTGAGGAGCTTGGGCTAACGCGGTGCTGGCGGGTGCAGAATGGAGGGGTGAGCGCAGGGTCACCTCGGGCGGACTCTGGATGGACCCAGCTGTGGCTGGCAGAGGCAGCGCAACTCGCTGCTCAATGCAGGTGCTCGGGAGCAAACCCCCGACTCAGCCCTTGCCTGCTGCCTGACCTTCGGAAAGTTCCTTAAGGTCTTCCTGTGCCTCAGTTTCCCAAACTATAAAATGGGGAAAATTGAAGAACATTCTAATGTTTGAATTAGTTGATAACTGTGCAACACTTAGAACATGCCCCCACGTGTCAATTCTATAAAGTAAGATGGAAACGTTGGGGAGGAAGGGACAGCAGTGACTTAGAGATGACTCTGTTCCCGGGCCCGAGGCTGGGAGAGTAAGTGGTGGCATTGACTTTGTTGCTTGAAGCAAAGAATAGATCTGGATCCCGGGACGGAGGCTGAGGCTGAAGGGAGTCAGAAAATCATCCGTATAGAGGGAGAAGAGGCATGTGGTTCGTTCGTACAATCCGTTAGGACTTCCTCCACTTCTGTGAGTGCTCACTTTGTGTCAGGGCAAGGAAGAGCAGAGAAGTTCTGACTTTTTGTATTTCGTGTTTGGCAGTTTTATAAAATTTGTAGGCGTTACTAGAATTTTGCATCGGCTTCTACAGAACATGTGCGGGGGGGGGAAAAACCAAAGGATTAACATCTTGATTTTAGTAGGCAAATGGTATACACTGTTACACACACTTTAACGTATGAAACAATGTGAATATTGACACTAATGTGCGCAACACACGGATAAAGTTCCAGGTCTTTGGATTAGAGTGTCTCGGAGCAGTTGGAGTCCGTCAGTGATCAGTCGTATTGCTTTCAAGAGAGGAGGGGATAAAATGAGAACTCCTCGGTTGGGTTAGTGAAAGTGAGATGTAGTAGTACCCCTTCCTTCTGGAAAATGGTGCCAGGCAGAAGGACAAGAAGCAAGAAAGCCCCCAGTGCTCACAGGCTTTCCCTCCCAATTGTCTTTATTCTTGTTCATATTATGCAAGCAGGGATATGGGGTTACATAAACGATCGACCCTGGGCTCATGCACATTACTGCACATGATTGCCTTTCTCACCTAAGCTGGAAGCAGATTCCCTAGGAGAGCTCAAATTATGTGAAATTCGGCTGAGAGTTCAAGAGGTATAACATGTCTTCCTGTGTTTGATTATCTGTTTTATTACCAACCACCACATTAATTGTTCTCCTGTTACGTATTCACCTAAGTGGTGATAGAAAGCTCCTTACTAGGACTTAAAAATGTGTCTCATTCAAGTAGAAGTCTTTAGGTCCCTTCGCAGACTTGTCTAGAGCGCCTCTGGGTGCTCGGCAGCAGCACTGGGGCTGGAGAAGGCGCCCCTCCCCCATGAGAGTCCACACTCGGGTGTGGTTGAACCTTCGGAGAAATGGATTTCTCTGCACTTCAAGTTGAGTAGCACCTTCTCGCTTTAGTTCTTTGTTCTGCTGTTGGCTTGAACAGTGCAAAGCCCGCATTAGTTGGTAGAGCTGTAGGAAATTGGGGAAGCAACGTGATCCCATGCAAAGATCACATGAGCTGTGGAATCATGCAGACCTTGGGTTCCAAACTGAGCTGAGCGACTGGCCGGCCAGCCTCTGTCACTCAGTGTCCTTAAATATGAAAGGGAAAAAGCAATGCCCCCTTCATGAGTTTGCTACAGAGATAAAATCCGGCAACTTACTGCAGGAGCTCAGCTCAGCAGACAGAGCGCTTCTGTGCCGGGCTCGGTCTCCCTGCCGCCACAGCGTCCGTTTTCCAGGAACTAGTCCCTTCTGCTAAAGGACGGATGGTACAGTGAGAAAGGACCATTATTACTACAGAGAAGACAGTGAGAACCGTGTCTCAGAATGATTCAGAGTACTTCTGTTTGCCATATGCTGTGTAAGAAGCGTTACCTCTAGTTGACTGCAGACAACTGTTTAGGAGAAATACGTGTCGTGCCTGCTCTCATGAACCCCAACTGCTAGCCCTTCCACTGCCAGTTTCTACGGCCGCAGGCAGACCAGGGTGAGCGGTCATCCTAGCTGCTCTGCAATCACTGAGCAGAGCCTGCCCTCCACAGCTGTAAGAAAAAGCATTGTGTAGGTGGCCCCAGGGTACCTCAGCCTTGGGGGTGGTGCTTAAACCATAAAAGGTTATTTTCCCACAGTTCTGGACACTGGAAGTCCAAGGTCAAGGTACCAGCAAGATGAACTTCTGGTGCGAACTCTCAGCTGCCTACTCAGTGTGCCCTCATGCAGCCTTTCCTCTGCACGTGCAGAGAGAGAGATGTCTGGTGTTTCACCCCATCTTAGAGGGACACTAGTCCTGTCAGGTTGGGAGCCCACCCTTAGGACTTCGTATTTCCTTATTACTTCCTGAAAGGCTCTCTGTCCAAATACAGTTGCTGGGGGTTAGGGCTTTAAGACACAGATGGAAGGGGGGCGGCAGCAACACACAATTCTGTCCCTAACCAGCACATTCCTATTGGAGCAGTAAAGATTTTCCCATAGGAGAAAACATTATTTTCATTGTAATGGTTATTCTAAAAAATGCAAAATCAGAAGAAGACAAATGCAAAATCAGATTCAAGACAATAAATACATGGTCTAAAAAGTCATTACAGTTAATTAAAGGACTCACACCCAGGTCTCTGGAGGAGAGAAGCTAAAATCATACCAATATCGTTTCTTTTTGTTTGAATTTAAAACTCACCACCGTATATCCCGTCAGGTGATTATAGCAGGGGAAAAATAGGCCATTCCTCTGCCTTTTAGACACTAGTATGTTCCTTCAGATGTTTGGCAGTGTCCATTGTGTGGACGTGGGCGTGGTCTATCGCCACTCTTGAAGAAACTAGTGAGGTCAGCTTCCTTGGGATGTTAGTCGTCCATCCGTGCATTAAAATGGCATATTCTCTAGTCCACGCTCCAGTGCAGAGCATGCCATTTGAATATTTTCACCCTACCTCGTTCCAGAAAGACTCCTTTAATCCCTTCAGTGATTACAAGAATCCGGAAAAAACAACAACAACAACAACAACATCTATCATCCTGTTTCCTATGAAGTGGTTGTCACCATAAAATGTGTTCCTCCTCTCACCATAGCAGGCTCGCAGTAAGTTGTTGCTGTAGCCCAGATTGGACGTGAAATTTGTCAAGGAAAGTGTGTTACGCTTGGTCTGGCATAGCATGACCCTGCCATTTGAAAAGTCACAGCTGATGGGGCAGAAACAGAGAAGGAACAGCATACCCTCGTTATCACGTTAGTACCTCATTTCCAGTGCAATATCTTTAAATAATTCTTTGCCCTAATAAATTAAATTATTTTGCTGCACACGAGCAGCAGCCTAATAGATTTGGGAACCAGAAATTAAAGTTCAGCTCTATCCTTTGATTGAAAAGCTGATGATAAGGGTAAGAAGAACGCACGAAATATACTTTATTGGAAACTTTACATTCTACTTTATGACATGAGGACTTAAAAATTAATGACTAATTAATGACTTAAAATTAAATGACTAACACTTGAAAGGAAAAAGGAGTTGTTTAGCCTCAAAAGTAGCCCAGGAAATAAGAGTGAGGAATGATGATGTAAGAAAAGCCTTTTCTTTATCATGCTCAGTGTTGTTCACAGTGTACTTTTTTTTTCCGATTTTACCATCCATATGATACCAACACTTGGCTATTGCTACTTTACTCCTTGTCTCACACAGCACATCTTGTTAACATCACATGATGTTAATGTTGGACTGTACCAAACATAAGTTATATTCTAAATATATTCAAAGTATATTCAAATAGAAGGTGCATTTCTAACGTACCCCCCCATCGTCGAAAACCATCCACCCAAAATCTTAACGGAGAACTATTAGACGATAACTGAGAACAGAATTATGCATTTGCAGACTAATCCCTGTGATCTTTTCACGACTTTGGAAGGAAGGAGAAGGGCAGAATTAACATGACTAAATGAACGACCTTTCATGTTACCTTTTGCAATCCGGACTTCACTGTGGAATAGGCATTGTGCCCTTTTCTGGGTAAAGAAAATGGGCCTCAGAGAGGTTGGGGTAGTTCACACAGTTCGGGATGGAGCCAGGACTCACACCCAGGTCTCCGGAGGAGAGAAGCTAAAATCATACCAATATCATTCCTTTTGTTTGAATTTAAAACTCCCCACCCTATGTCCCTTTATTATAGCAGGGAAAAAAATAGGCCATTCCGCTGCCTTTTAGACACCAGTATGTTCCCTCAGATGTTTCACAGTATCCATTATGTTCAAAAGACATTAATAAATTATTCTACTAGCTTTGAAGAGACGGGAGGGAAGGATTATCCCGTAATTTCATCTTTAAAATCAATCCTTGCCCCCAAAAAACCTCAAATCGAATCCTTTCCAGTTGTCCTAAAGAAAGATTCTGTTATATGATTTTTTTTCATTATATTTTTAAAGATTTATTTATTTGACACTGAGAGAGAATGGGAGTGGAGGGAGATACAGAGGGGAAGCAGACTCCCCGCTTAGCACAAAGCCTGACTTAGGGCTCGATCCCACGACCCTGAGATCATGACCTAAGCCAAAACCAATAGTCAGATGCTCCAACTACCTGAGCCACCCAGGCACACCTATGTGATTTTTTAAAAGAGGAGTTTGTAATTTTTGTTTACTTAGCATTGTTAACAAATGAGACATGAAAATGGGCTTAAAACCATCTGGAGCTTTCTCCAGTAGGTTCACTTCAGAAACATAAATTGCTCGGCAATAAGCATCTCGCTTTCCGCTGGGCCAACAGGCTATGTTCGTTTTCTGCACCTCCTTGGAAGGAGGATACCCCTGTCACCTCCAAGTAACCGCCACTTCTCTGCCACTTCATTTCTTCCTCTGCACACATATCCTTGTCAGGAAATACACACCATCTCCCCCCACCAGAAATACAAACCTCAGTACACTTTGTGTTCCGGGTAAGAGAGAGAGAAAGAGAGAGAGAGAGTGTGTGTGTGTGTGTGTGTGTGTGTGTGTCTACATGTGTGCGCACCCGATTCCATTCTGAGCTCTGAGACACGGGAACTTTTCTATTCTTTATATCTTTCCACGGTGATATATTTAAGAATATAGACATCGTGTGTGTGTGTGTGCGCGCACGCACGCACGCACCCCTGGTTCCATTCTGCGCTCCGAGACATGGGAACTTTTCTATTCTTTATGTCTTTCCATGGTGATATATTTAAGAATATAGACAATATATGTTTGTTGAACAGCATTCTTAGGCTCTTTGCAGAAACCAGCTTTCTTGTCTGTGTGAAAGTTAGGCACCTCCTTGCGGAATAGGAAAGAACAGTCTGCCTTACATGGTACCTGTACCACATATATATGTTTATCAAATTTTTTCAGAGGTTTCAACAAATAACGGCTTATTCTTTAGTTTACCAGGAAGAGTTATTTTACTCCAACAATTTTGTATTTTTGTATGGAAAGTAGTAACGTTTCCAAACTGTTCTTCCCATATTTTCAGGCACAAACGGTGGGGCTGCCGGTGACCGTGCATGCACCCAGCGTGCGGCTGATGCGGTCCGCCCTCCTCCCACAGGCGTCCAACGTGGAGGCCTTTTCATTCCCAGCATCCGGCTGCCAGGCGGAAGCAGCGTTTATGGAAGAAGAGTGTGTCGACACGCCAAAGGTACGGACGTGTTTGAAAGACTGAGCTTGCTGGTTGGCCAGGCCCTTGCTTTGGTCCACGAGTGTTGTACTTTGGCTTTGTTGACCTTTGTCATTTCCTTAAGTCATTCAGGAGTGTTGTTTTTGTGCAGAAGACCTGAGAAAAATATCCAGGCTAAACTTGGCTCTCCTCGTCCTCTTATCGTTGTGGCTGTTGCATAACTCTTTAGACCTTCTATGTACTTTCCAAAATCCTTCTTTCCCTTTCCTTAACCAGTCCCTTCCCTCTTCAGGTTTCTAGATCCCTCTTAGGTGTGGGATTAAAAAAAATTGTTATTCTGAAAACAAAAGTAATTTTTGTGCAGAGTTGGGCTTTGTATGTTATCATTGCCTCTTATCTGCGCGCGGGCTGCAGCTACAAAGTGATGGGCCGTCTTGTTTGGTTCAATTTTATTTTAAGGTTTTATTTATTTATTAGAGAGAGAGAGAGAGAAAGCACAAGCAGGAGGAGGGGCAGAGGGAGAAGCAGGGACCGTGGGATCGTGACCTGAACTGACGGCAGACCCTTAACCGACTGAGCCACCCAGGCGCCCCTGTTCAGTGTTTTGTTTTCGTCCGTTTGAGTATACGTGATGGAGATAAGTTTATCCTCGTATCCTGCGTGAAGTTGGCTTGTAGCACATAGATGATGATAGCTTCTCTCACGTAGGGGGTGCTTATTCATCTGCGTTCTATCTACTTAGCCTCAAGTGGTGTCCAGAGGCTTGTGTTAATGGGCAGGCCTTGGAATGTGTTCAGAGTAGTCTCTGTTCTCCACCGGTTGTGAACTTGGGTGGGGTGACTGCTTCGAACCTCTGTGCTCTGTAAAACAAGAATACCCAACTCTGTGAGCCTCTCGGGAGGGTTGAGATCGTGCGTGTGAGATTCTCGGTGTATTGTAAACACTCATTATTGGTTTCCTGTCTTTTTAGCTTCTTTAGGTGATGAAAGGATAATTCAGACATGAGTTTTGCCTCCAAGTTGATAGTCTAGCAGAGGAGACATGGTAACTACAGACACTGTGCCAGGTGATGACTAAATTGACAAATACCATCAGTCCCTTAAAGAAATGTAAATCCAAGTGCGACAAGCCTGGGAGGAAGCAGGGGAAGATGCTCTTAGCTGGTCTGATCAGGAAGGTGTGGGTTAACTGTCAGAGCTGGGAATTGAGGGGTGCGCAGAATAGGGGCGGACGGCGTTTTGGTGAAAGGGAAAGTCTGAGCAAGCAGATGTCAGGGAAACTTAAGTCCGTCTAAAAGCAGTAGCCCCGTGTGTGTGTGAGGAAGAGGGGAGATGGAGGGGGGTTGGGTGAAGTGAAGACGAGCAGCTCTGCTTTGAACGGCGAGCCCGAGAACACCGGCTTTTCCTCCGGGCTGCCATCCGCGGCAGGAGGACGCGTGCCAGGGTTGTCAAGAGAGGGTTTCACAGGGACTTCTTCAGCATAGGAGGAAACAAGTGAAGGTTTTTGGTCAAGGAAGCCGTCAAATGCACGTTGTGCTTCAGAAATTAGCCGGAAGGTCCATAGCCTGCGTTGGATGGGGACAGGGGCAGTGGCGGCTTCGAGCAGTGTGCCCAGAGGGGAGACGACGAGGGCCTGCACTGGGCTAGCGCTCGGGAAACTTCAGGGGAGGGGGCGATGTGAGATTGTGCAGCCAAAATGGATCGACTGTTCGGGTCCAGAGAAACGAAGTCCAAACTCATACCAGTATGTCTGGAGGTCGAGCTGATTCACAGGTTAGGTAATGTGTTTAGCTAAACCATAGTCAGGGCAGCTTGAGGCCAGTCTGCACTGTCACGTGTCAAGCTGAGTTGGTGACGGTGAGTTCATGTCCATGTCCCCGAGGACGAGGCCACTTCCCACGGACAGTCTATTTTCTCTGCCTGTGGTTGCCTAGACGATGTTCAGTCACCTCATTGACTTTCACATTCTCACCTAGAAATTAAGCTATAAATTGGGACAACATAATTCATTTATTTTTAAGATCTAATTCCGTTGAAAAAATTAAAATGCATTCTGCTGAAAGCTTATCTGTGAGGGCATCAGGCTTGAAATACAGATTGGGCACTGTCTGCTGTATTATATAGGGCAAGCTATTTTTAAAGCTTGTGATTGTTACCGTAACTAGGAAACAGACAGGAAATGAATGATTTTGTGAAAGATAAAGGCAGGAGCTAGATGCGGTATTTGCATTTGTAGGAACAGCAGGAACGCGCCGGACCCGGCCACCTACAACGGCAGGGCTCCGCGGGCCCTCGGCCAGGCCACTCACATCCACTGGTCTTAGCTGTGGACTATTTTGTTGATGTCAGGGAAAATGCTGATCCCTCTTCCCTCCCTAGGACCCCCTTTGGGGGCCCGTCAATGAATGCACACGCACGGAGCTGGAGGGCCACAGCTCTGTGGTTCACAGTGCCTCACTCGCATTTACTGGGACACCCACTTCTGTCTTCTACAAGATGCTTCCTAAATGAATGTATTGTTCATTCATTTCTACTCCCAGTTGGTGGCAGGTATTGCCATCACAGAGATTTTACCTCTCCTTTTCTTGCGGAAGCCTTTAAACCGTCAGTAAAATCCTTTAGGGAGTCTGTCTTGAAACATTGGTTTGGGGCTCCTCCAAAAACTACCACCTGAGACCGCTACCCAACTCTGAGCAGAACTGAGACCCCCCACCCCGTGACAGACCATGTTGGGGGGGCAGGTGCACAAACCCTCTAGAGGCAGTCTTTCTCTTTTAAGGGTTTCTTTGAGGGTAACCAGTTTCTTTCCAGTTTTATTGAGAAGTAATTGACATGCATCATTGTGTACGTTCAGGGTGTACAGTCTGATGGTTTGATCACACGTACCACCACCGCAGGTTCAGCCAACGTCCATCTTCTCGCAAAGATTCAATAAAGAGAGAAGAAAAGAAAGAAGAAAAATATTTCCTTTTGATGAGAACTCTTAGGATTTATTGTCTTACACCTGACCTATGTGTCCTACGCAGCAGCAGCTGTAGTCATCATGGCAGACGTGACATCTCTGGTGCTTGCTTACCACCTGAGGCTTGTGCCTCACCTTCCTGCAGTGCCCCCTCCCTCCGCCCTCGGCCTCTGGTGCCCACACATCTGATCTGTTTCTGTGAGCATGCTTCCGTTCTTCTCGTTTTTTCAATTCCACATCTGAGTGACATCATAGGGTACTGTCTTGCCCTGACTGACTTCACCAATCATAATGCCTTCCAGATCCATCCCTGTTGTTGCAAATGGTAGGATTTCCTTGTTTTTTTGTGGCTGAGTAATATTCCTGTTGTGTACAAATAGCACAACTTGTTGATCTGTTCATCTGTTTGTGGACACTTAACGTTGTTTCCATGTCTTGGCTGTGGCAGCCCTGATACCTTCCTGAGTTAGTGTCTTCATTTTCTTTGGATGTAGGAAGAACGCCATTTATACACACACACACACACACACACACACATATCTTAATCACTTTTTTTTTTTTTAAGATTTTATTTACTTATCTGACAGAGATCACAGGTAGGCAGAGAGGCAAGCAGAGAGAGAGGAGGAAGCAGGCTCCCCGCTGAGCAGAGAGCCCGATGTGGGGCTCGATCCCAGGACCCTGGGATCATGACCTGAGCCGAAGGCAGAGGCTTTAACCCACTGAGCCACCCAGGCGCCCCTCTTAATCACTTTTAACATTGTACTAGAAATTATAATAAAAGGATTTCCCAGGCTTTTTCATAGCTGGGTAACTGAGCTGGGAAAATAAACGTGTCCCAGGTCTGTTTCCTCTAAAATAAGAGTAGGTCTGAAAAGGATGTACCCCTAAGGCTTTGTAAAAGGGAGACAATTAACACTTTTACTTCTGAATTTGAATTTTTAATTTATAATTGAAAAAATAAAACCAGTCAGAATCACACATGGAAAATTCAGAGAGGGATAAAGGAAAAATTATTCATAATCCCACTACCCAAATATGGGCATAATTTGAAACATTCCTAAGAGAGGATTATAGATGGGTGGGTAGGTGAGTGTAGGGTAGCTCAGTCAGTAGGTAGACTTGTTAAAACAAAATTATGCTATATTCTTTTTTTTTTTAATTTTTTTTTAAGATTTTATTTATATATTTGACAGAGATCACAAGTAGGCAGAGAAGCAGGCAGAGGGAGGGGGGAAAGAAGGCTCCCCATTAAGCAGAGAACCCGATGTGGGGCTCAATCTCAGGACTTTGAGCCAAAGGCAGAGGCTTAACCCACTGAGCCACCCAGGCACTCCAAAATTATATTCTATGTAATTTTGTATGTTGCATTTACATAATGTAACATCATGTGCCTTTTTCTAGATTATGAAATTGGAAAGTGTAAGTTAGTAGTGCCTAATACATTGTATTAGATAAACCCATATTTAATTACTATTTTGGCCATCAGGTACTTTAAATTTTTTTGGCATCCTTAAATGTGCCTCAGGTAAATGTCCTTGTGTTTAAATCTCTGTGCCTCTGATTAATTCCTCAGGATAAATTTCTAGAATTGGGATTATCCAGTTCCTTCTTTCTCACCTGGTTATCTGTTTATTTTCATTTTCCTCAAGATGGTAAAAAATGCTTTAAAAGAATATGGGGTAATTTTATTCTCCTGCCTTTAAAATTGTTATTGTTATAAAGCATTCTTTTTGGTCAGGAAATAAGAGTAAGGGATACGTTATTTTATTTTTTTGTTTGTTTTTTTATAAAGATTTTATTTATTTATTTGACAGACAGAGATCACAAGTAGGCAGAGAGGCAGGCAGAGAGAGAGGAGGAAGCAGGCTCCCTGCGGAGCAGAGAGCCCGATGTGGGGCTCGATCCCAGGACCCTAGGATCATGACCTGAGCTGAAGGCAGAGGCTTTAACCCACTGAGCCACCCACGCGCCCCGGGATACAATATTTTAGTTAGTCTTCCCCAATAGCCACTGTACACGTGAGAGAAACTGAGCTTTACAGAAACTCAACAGTCTGCTGGGAAAGGGTGGCGCTGAGGCTCGGCCCGCACCGCCTCAGGACGTGCCCAGCCTGCCCAGCGCTGAGGATGCGCGGGAAGTAAGACACTCTCAGCCCCCAGGTTCACTGGCTGATACCGGGCACTGGTCTGCTGTCTTCGTCAGCTCAGGTCACCGTAACACAATACCACAGGCTGGGGGGGCTAAGCTGCAGAAATCTATTTCCTCACAGTTCTGGAAGCTAAAAATTGAAGATGGAGATGAAGGTTGTGACCAATTTTATTTCTGGTGAGGACACTTTCCTGGCTTATAGAGGAGGACTGCCTTCTCTCTTCCTCCTCCCCTGGCATCTGCTCTCTGCTCACGTGGGAGCTTCCTGGTATCTTTTCTTCTAAGGACACTGATGCTACCAGGGCAGGGCTCTGGCCTTGTCATCCTGGTTTAACCACTGCCCCTGTATCTCCAGATACAGTCACACTGGGGACTGGGGTTTCCATATACAAATTTGGTGGCAGAGGAGGTGGGGTGAGAGATGGGGTTGAGACACAAGAATTCGATCCTTCTTCTTCTGTGCTAGAATCTTGTATTTCATGGTGGACTCAGGTGTTAAATCATGGCAGAGTTTCTCAGCGTGTGATTTCCGCATGTGTATTGGCTATTGAATTGAGGTCTCTTACTGGGAGTGATTGATCGAGGAGCGCCTGGGTGGCTCATTTGGTTGAGCGTAAACTCCTGATTTCAGCTCAGGTCATGCTCTCAGGGTCCTGAGATGGAGCTTGGTGTTGAGCTCCATGCTCTGCAAGGAGTCTGCTTGGGATTCTCTCTACCTCTCTCTGCCCACCCCACCCCCACTCCATGCTCACACTCTCTTAAAAAAAAAAAAAAAAAGTGATCATTTGAGCTTTAAAGACAAAAACATTGTGTTGTAAAATGTCCATTTCACCCATGGGTCTTGAGGCCCTGTAATTTACAGTCAGCCTAGAGTATGTCCTAGAGCAAAAGTCTCACTGCTAGTAGCTTAGGTCACATAGGTAGATCAGTCCAGTATCAGTCACGAAATCCTAGGGCTGAATTTGTTCTATCAAGACACTGGATAAATTGGCAGGCAAGGGTGGTGTGACTGTCACCTATTTCAGGAAATGAACTTTCAGCTGATGGTGTTCACACCTATTAACTGTGTATGAGTGAGGGCCCCCCACGGTGCTTTCTGATTTAATCATCATCAAACAGCATCTGAAAAACCAAAACCAGATCATTGTTTCCCAGAATGAAAATGAATTGAGCAAATGTTTTTAAATGAAAGCCATCATTCCCTGTTGTAGTCTAGAGGAAGGAGCTAATTTATATGCAGAGAATTTAAGAAAAGAATGTAAATTTAGGGGGACTGCAAGGTCTTCTGAGTGCTCCAAAAAAGAGGACTATCCTCTATCAGGAAAAAATAACCTGGTTGCAAGGCTGTGCCGTGAGAAATAGCTGGTACAAGTCTAACAGGCCACAGGAGTGCAATGACGCGGGGCGCCGGGGGCTCAGGCAGTTACACATGTGCCTCAGGCTCAGGTCATAAGCCCAGGGTGCTGGGATCGAGCCCTGCATCGTGCTTCCTGCTCAGCAGGGAGCCTGCCTCTCCCTCTGCCCCTCCCCCTGCTCGTGCTCTCTCGCTCTCTTACTCTCAAATAACATCTTTTAAAAAAAAAAGTGTAAAGGTGCTTAATGGATACTTACTCAATACCAGTTTTTTCTCTGTTGCTTTACTCATTTCTAAATCCTCCTTGGCTATTCTCAGAAAACTGTTAGTAGAGAGTTAAGGAACCTATAGGTACAAATCGAAGTTCCCCAAGAGCCATTCTTTCCTACAACTACTGAGTGTCCAGACAGGGGACACCTACCTAGGGGAGGGCCAACGGGAGCCTGAAAGTCACTGGCCAGATCTCAGAGTTTTTGTTTCTGGTGCCATGTGGGGAAGGTCAGTCTTCGTGTAGAAAGAAAGCATTGGCCACGCTTCCTGTTAAATGTGCACTTGTCGCTTTAAAACTCATGTCATGCATGAGCCACCTTATCCAAGTAGTGGCTGCAGCCACAGGAGTTTTTCTGGACTAGGCGTCCCCTCCCCCAGCAGACAAAGCTCTGAGTCACCCACAGTCTCCCTCTCCAAATAAAGGCCCTTGCAGTGCTTTCAGATTGGTTGCCATAAGAGGCAAGTTTGTCCTGTGTCTGGCACTGGGGTGTCCCACGTCACCTCTCACATACATGAGCTTCTGGTGCTTCCGAAAGAAGCAGTAGCTCTACCCGGTGCACCGCAGGTGAGAGCAGCGCTGAGAACCCACGTCCTGCGACTGGCTGGCCCCGAGCAGCTATTCCTGGGAGAAAACGGATTGGTTTCCGGGGCGGGGGGGGGGGGGGGGGGGGGGGGGGGGGGGGGGGGGGGGGGGGGGGGGGGGGGGGGGGGGGGGGGGGGGGGGGCAGCTTCAGTCATGAAGTAAAGAACTGCCTCGTCGCTGGGGCTCTTGGCAGCCGGAACTCGCGACCACAGCTCCCCTTTGTCCGCCGGCTCTGCCTGCGTGAGGTGGTTGGGTTGGCAGCCGCAGGGGAGGGCAGAGTTCTCGCTCGCTCAGGAGCTGCGCTGAGCTCACCCCGTGGGGTAGGAGCTGTGGATACCGTGTGTGTTGCCGGAGGAGAGAGAGTTCAGTGCGCTGGTGCTCATTAACCTCTGCTGGAATTTTGGGGCTGTGAGTCATTTGTTATTCTATAATGGAAGACTTTGGCTCTTTGCCATTTCAATTTTTTTCACTCCTTTTCGTGCTATCAGTCTGTCTTTAAAGATTTCTTTTTCCATTGCCCAGGCAGAGACAACCAATTAAAGACTAAATCAAATGGGCAGGTACTTAAATTATGAACATAAAAGTCTGTCTAGAACCTTCCAGAATGTTTTGTGGTTGAAAATTAGAAGAATGCTAGTGGCCACTCTTTCTTCTTAGCCATGCAGGTTTTTTATTTTTTTATCTCCTCCTCCCCCTCATCGTTTCCCTTATTTAAAAAGAATAATAATAACTGGTAGGCCTCAAGCGACTATATCCCTATTCATCTGGAAACCACTAAAAAAAATTGTTTATTATAATAATGATGACTCAGAGAAACGTGGGAGGCAGTGCCAGTTTGGGTCATAAAGGGCCCCTGTCTCTGAGAGCCGCAGTTGACTTGCCTTAACGCCCAATCTACATGTTGTCATCAGTAACAAATATGTACATTTTTAATATTTTACTTAATTTCTAGTTCACCACAAATCTTGACATTTTTTCCTGTGTGGGTTTTTTTAACGTCTCAGCAGAGCAGCAAATGATGATTTCCTCTCACCGTGACATTCAGGTAAACGGCTGCCTGCTGGACCCCGTGCCGCCCGTGCTGGTGAGGAAGGGGTGCCAGTCGTTGCCCAGCAACATGATGGAGACCTCCATCGATGAGGGGCTGGAAACAGAGGGAGAGGCTGAGGAAGACCCCAGCCAGGCCTTTGATGCGTTCCAGTCCACACGCAGTGGGCAGAGACGGCACACTCTGTCAGAAGTCACCAATCAGATGCTCGTGGTGCCTGGTTCAGGTAGGGTACCCCGGAGCCCCGGACTGCGTCTGCACAACACACCCTCCTGCCCCAGTCTCCAAGAAACAGTCATGACACCCCTGCTTAGAATGCCGCCTACGTCTTATGCCTTCCCGGCCCACGGTCGCAGGCTCTAGGCTCAGGTCTGCTCAGCGGCCACCGAAGAGGAGAACGAGGCATCCCTGGGCTGGCTCCCCCAGCCGCCGAGACCATCTGAGCGCTGTGCCATCCAGCAGGGACTCTGGCTGAGATCTTAAGGGCACAGGTTTGGGGGGTTTTCCCCACTGAACATACCCAAAGCTGATTAAATGGACATGTAAAAAGTTTCTGGAAAGGTGTTTTGGCGGGAGACTGGAGATTACAGATGCCGTAGCTTTGCAGACTCAGGCCGGTTCTGTCCTGTACCCATGCTCAGAGGAGCTGCTGTCTGCTGTTGGTCTGACCTTTTGGTTTGTTTTTGTTCTGTACTTTTCTCTTAAAGGGAAAATTTTCTCCATGAGTGACAACCCCTCCCTTGACAGTGTGGACTCGGAGTATGATATGGGGTCTGTTCAGAGGGACCTGAACTTTCTGGAGGACAACCCTTCCCTTAAGGACATCATGTTAGCCAATCCGCCCTCCCCACGCATGACGTCTCCCTTCATCAGCCTGAGACCTGCCAACCCAGCCATGCAGGCTTTGAGCTCCCAGAAGCGAGAGGCCCACAACAGGTCGCCAGTGAGCTTCAGAGAGGGCCGCAGGGCGTCGGATACCTCCCTCACCCAAGGTGACCGGCCACTGTCTCTTGAGGCTCCTCACACTCTCCTGCTGCCGGGCTTGAGGGGGTTGTGGCCATGTCGGTTTCACGCCTCTGGTCACTGGAAGGCCTTGTGTCTCGTTTAAATTGTTGGGTCACTGTTCTCTGCTTCAGGAATTGTGGCATTTAGACAACATCTTCAGAATCTGGCCAGAACCAAAGGAATCCTAGAACTGAACAAAGTGCAGCTGCTCTACGAACAGCTCGGACCAGAGGCAGACCCGGACTTGGCACCTGCTGCCCCTCAGCTCCAGGACCTCGCCGCCAGCTGCCCTCAGGTGGGTGCTCCCTTCCCATGGGGGCTCTGAGTGTGAGGCATGGCCTCGTCCCGAAGGAGTGTCCTGTCACTTTGAGGTGACAGGACACAGGTCATTTTGGAGCGCTCACAGCCTGAAAGCTTTCCTTGTCGCTGCCACCAACAGGTTAGACCTGTCCACACTGGTCCCTGGGGATTAGTACCATGAGGAGGTGTAGACGCTCTGAAGCTGTGGTTGGTCATAGGGCAGATTTTATATGAAGGACTTCTGTCAGTGTCACTGAACTCCCCTCCCCCAGCACACACACAAAGATAGTGATATAAATGCAAAGCTTACCACTTCATTACATAAGTGGAGTAGTTATGCTAAAAATGACCCCCAAAATACTGCTTTTATCCAACACATTTTATTTTGAACCTATTTTCAGTGCATCACGGAAATTCTAGCATTTGATGCCCACATGAAGGTCAGGGCCTCCTGGTGACCTCAAGAGCCTTTGCCACAGTACCGACTAGGTAATCGTTCACTACAAAGTGATTAACCCTCAGCTGACTAATTATTGAAAAGCTTTGAGTCTTATGTCTTAGAGTTGGGAGCTCCTCTTGGACATTTACGAAGGTGCTTAAACAAAGAATTGAAACTTTCTTCCACATGGAGAATTGAAAATGTTTTCATCCCCCTTGCTCCTCAGGAGGAAGTTTCTCAGCAGCAGAAGACGGTCTCTGCCGTGCCCGGCACCGTGCGTCCGCAGCTTTCCCCGCGCCAGAGCCTGGAGGCGCAGTATCTCCACAGACTCCAGGTGGGACCCTCCCCCTTGTTAATGCTCACAGCGCTTGGCCACAGTCCACTCTTCTGCACAGCAGAAGCAGGTTTTGCTTGGTTAATTTTTTAGGGTAGCTACTTTTTTCCGCAGTGAGCAGGCAGCTTTGACTCAGGACCCGAGGTTTCTAGAAACACGTTCAGACTTAGCCTTATGCTTCTGTGGGCAGCGGAAAAGGATCTGTCCTCAGGCCCTAGGAAAGGAGAAAGCCACCGGCAGGAAAGAGAAACCTGGTTTCTTTGCTTTTAAATTTATGTTTGTTAATGAATAATAAAATGGAAATCTCAATCCAATAAAATTTTACTATCAGCTCTTACATTAATGCCTGAAAACCTTTAAAAATGGTACACATCATTCAGTGGATGCTGTGGCCTTTGCTGTCAAGATTTACCTCCACTATTGTGTTTCGTCGCACTGAGCCTTGTAGTTCTAGACTCCGAGAAGTGGAAAAGCGGACGCCGGTCCCAGCTGGGGCAGCACAGGCCCGCTGCCCCAGTGCTGCTGGACCTCGGGGAGCGAGTGTCCACGCCCTCACCCTGCAGAGATTCGGGAGGACACAGTTGGCCTTGTCCTCCATGCAAACGGGACCGTCCAGCGACTTCATCCTAGAGGACTTCATATTGTCACACTCATCTTCTTTTTCTGCTCTCCCAGAAGCCCAGCCTTCTGTCAAAAGCGCAGAACACCTGTCAGCTGTACTGTAAAGAGCCACCTCGGAGCCTCGAGCAGCAGCTGCAGGAACACAGGTGAGAGAGGGTCCCATTCTTTGTTGAGGATTTCACGAAGCCAGACGATCCCCCCTCTTTCGCCGGCGCTTTTACCTCCACTGGGACACAGGTTTCAAGACCTGATCACCGATGCAGACAGTCCATTGTTCACGGGAGATGGGCCTGGCAGGAGATGGCAGGCCTGCGTTTGTTTTCTTTCCCTTCTAGTGTTCTCCTTTAGGTTACGAATAGACCCAGCTTTCAGAATCCACATCCTGCAGCAGTGTAAGTGGGCTCTGCGGCAGGGAGGGCCTCTGTCGTCTCTTGCAGTAATTCATGTCCTCACACCTCTCTAGGAGAAGCAGCCTGGCCAATGTACAAGTACCCTGTCCTGTCAACCTACAGCCACCCCCCAGAGGCCAGGTGTTATCCCGCTTTAAAACACTCCAGATAGGAAATCAGCCTCTCGCTTCACAGGGAAAAAAACTTGGTCTCAGAGAAAATGAATTAGTGTTCACTGTAGCACCAAGGGTTCCACCAGAATTGGGGGACAAAAATGTCAGGTATATGAAACCAGACACAGCTGCTTCCTACCCCCATTTCTTTTGTTGTTTTTTGTTTTTTCTGCTGCGGAAAAGAAGTGGGAGGACTGATCCTGGATTTATATAAAATTGCCATCACTGAGGAAGATTTGAAATTCTTTCTTTTGCTGTTGCCACTTTAGACTCCAACAGAAGCGACTCTTTCTCCAGAAACAGTCTCAGCTACAGGCCTACTTTAATCAGATGCAGATAGCAGAGAGCCCATACCCGCCGCCCGGTCAGCAGCTGCCCCTGCCCCGCCAGGACACGTCCACGCCGTCCCCGCAGCCCCCGCCTTTCAGCCTGCCCCAGCCCCTGAGCCCCGTGCTGGAGCCCGCTTCCGAGCAAATGCAGTACAGCCCCTTTGTCAGCCAGTTCCAGGAGATGCAGCTGCCACCCCTGCCCTCAGCACCCCGGCCCCGGGCTCCTCCGCTGGCCGTGCACCTGCAGCCGCCCCCGCCGCCGCCGCCACCCCTGCCGCCCCCGCAGCAGGCCGGAGCCACCCCAGCCCCCTTACAGTTCTCCTATCAGACTTGCGAGCTGCCGGGGGCTGCCTCCCCGGAGCCAGACTACCCTGCTCCCTGCCAGTACCCCATGGAGGGGGCGCCACAGAGCAGCCTGGCTGCGCAGGACTGTCCCCGGAACTCGGGACTGCAGGAGGCCCCCTCCAGCTACGACCCTCTAGCCCTCTCAGAGTTCCCTGGACTCTTCGATTGTGAAATGCTGGAGGCTGTGGACCCGCAGCACGGTGGCTACGTCCTGGTAAACTAACCTCCGCACAGGAAGTGAGGCGGGTCCAGTGAAGGAAGAATGTGTGTTTCTATTTTTATTGCAGCCTTTTCCATTTAAAGCTTATTTTCCTGCCTTCTCCCAAATGGAGAAAAAGTTGCCCACCTGGAATCAGAGGGCCTGGCCGGGCCACGTGTCTCTTTCTCCTGGCTCTGTCCCACCATAGTCCTCTGCGGCCAGCGCAGAGCAGAGCGGTAGCCGAAGTCCTGCCCTTCCAGCAGGCGGAGGCCGCTCTCACAGGAGGCACTGACAGAGGCTTTTAGGAGACGACATCCAGACGACATCCAGACCTAGGTTTTCTGTAGAACACCACCAACTCGTTATCGAGGGAAACCGTGGTAGAAGCAGGAAAAACTGTGCCATTAGATACGGGCGAAACCAAAACAGAACAACAGGACACCAGATTTTTCACGGAAGCCGAGCAACACGCGTTCTGTTACACGAGTCGAGGATACGTAATGGGCTTTGATGCACAGGAAGTAAAGGAAAAGCTGTGCTTTGTCATCAAGTCCTCCGTCTGAAGCCACTGCTTCCGGCTGTCCCCGAGACCACTGCAAAGAAGTGGAACGTGAGCTTCGTTTCTGGGGCCACGAAGTCACAGCTGGCACTGACCCCTGGGACGGGCAGTCATCTCCACTTGGGAGCAGTGACTTCCTTCTTCCGAAGGTTTCCTGGGGTGCAAAGTGGACTCAGGGCTCCAACACGGTCACCTGTGGAACCACGAGACCCAGCACAGCGGAGGCAGGGGCAGGCCACAAGGAGCCCTCGGGAGCAGCAGCCCTGGGCCAAGGGAAGACGGGCTCTTCCGGCTGAGTCTTTGGTGAAAACTGCTGGTCTGGGACGGTTGATCTCCAGAGGACCTAGCGTCTCTTTTAAAATGTAGTAACTACTCTGACTTTACCTTCTGTGTCGCTAGTAGTTTATTGAGCTTTGTATGTTTGGACAGTTTCATAGGGCTTAGGAATTTCAAGGACAAGAAACATGAACTTTGATCTCCCATGTGAAGTGGTAGTGCTGTGCCTTTCCCCCCCACAGATCATGCTTTAATTCTTTCTTTTCTGTAGAAACCAACAGTTTTCCATTTATGTCAATGCTAAATCCAAAGTCACTTCAGAGTTTGTTTTCCACCATGTGGGAATCGCATTCTTAATTTCCTTAGAAGTTCTGACTTATAACGAAACGTTCAAGTATTACAGCAATATTTAAAACCACAAACGTGTTAACCACCTAGCGGATCAGCTGTCAAAACACGTGCTATGACTAGTGAAAATGTAACCTTAATTCTTACAGTTCTCTCACCAGAGTAAGTAAAAGTAAGTAACGCGCCAGCTAGTTAACCGTAGACCTAGAAGTAACAACCTGTCGCTCGGACAGCAAAAGCCCAGTGTTAAAAACCCAGTGTTACTGACAAAGACTGCCGTTTCTGTCCTGTAGAATGGCTTGTCCTAGCAGCAGATGAATGCGCTAAGCACAAAGCATCACAAAGCACAAAGCAGAGAGACACTACCATGCTGCATCCAGAAACACCTTTAAGTTGCCTTTCCTCGTTGTAGAGGGTGTCCAGGCAGGTGAGAAGCGTGTCCCGGCTCTGGTGGGTGCCAGGACGTGCCACAGAAGTGCTCTGCTGGGGGGAGCATTCAGGCCTTAGCAAGAGAGGGTGCCCTGGAGGACCGTCGTCTTGTGATTTAACAGCTCACGAAGATCCAGGAGGAATGAATTCTGTTCCTTCCGTGGATTGTTTATTCCTCCTCATGCTTAAACATCATTTAAGCCATCCTTTCACTAAGATCTCTAATCTGTTTTCAGTCTTCGCAGAATAAGCCAGTTATGAAATAGGGCTTGATTTAACTAAAGGATATTTTTCCAAAACATACTACAAAAGCACTGTCATGTTTATGAAATTAAAATGCCTTCTAGTCTGAACCTGGGGCGGCAGGAATGGTACTCACAGGCCGACACCGAGGCCTGCCCACCTCCCCTCCCGCCCCCAAAAGGCCATAAGCCTTGGAGCGGCGGCTGACTGGTGAGGCGAGCCCAGGGCACAGCGGAGAGGCCAGTGGCGGGCGGAGGGCCTAGAGCTGCCGCGGGAAGCTCCCGGCAGGGGCCAGCGTGGGAGACACCAGACAGACCAGCAGCACGTCAGACCCGGGGGTGTAAGCTATTTGCTTTGCTCATTTCAAGCAGAAATCAGGAAATTCCGTAACGATCCGTCTTTACCGAAAGGTAAACTGGTGAGAGGAGACTGGTGACCATCAGTCAAGTGTGTTCCCAGCCCTGTGGGATCACCTCCAGGGCTCGGTCCACTGACCAGGGACCTCTGGACACTTCCGAGCAGCTACCACACTAAAACAACACTAAGAAGGCTTCGTATACTGCTCTTTTTACGAGAGGCTACTTTGAAATAATGACTTTCTTTCCAGTTTGTTTCACGTAAGCAGTGTGTACACTACTGTATAGTAATCATTAGCTTTATTATCTTGTAAACCAGGCTCCTCTGAAGAGACTTTGGTGAGATGAACGTGAGGTAAAAATTTCATTCGGCAAAAAGTGCAATATGTGTGGTACTTTATTTTTTATGTTCTTTTTTTAATCCAGGGGTATTAGTCTCTGCTTTGGGAAAAATGCACTAGTTCTGCAATTTCCAGTTGGGCAAGTGTGTCTCTAGTATTGTGCTGGTCCCTGTAAGGCAAGTAGAGTGCGTTACCACGACAGAAGGGCAGGCGGGCTCGTGCCAAGTCCCTGGGGAGCTACGCTGACCCTAGGGCAGAAGGCTTTCAACAGCCCCCCGTTTCCATTATCCAGTCAGAGACACACATCTGGGGCCCCGGGGGGAGGACCAGGACATGGCGCTGAAGGAAAGTTCTGGCAGGGACAAAACCCCCTCCCTTCCACATCAAACTTTGTTCCCAGGAAGGAGGAAGTCGACTCCCTCTCTTGCTCATAAATAAAGACCTGCCAGGCGCCCGTTTCCTGAGGCCCTCCGGTGCGCGGGGTCTGCCCCCCCCCCCCCGAGAGGGAGGGCCTCCCCCCGACCCGCTGCCCACTATCATTAGCACCGGAGAAGGGGCGCGCTTGGAGTTGGCAGGAGGGGGGATGCTCTGCTAGGAAGTGCTGGGGTGGGGGGGCGCTCCGGCGGCTCAGGAGTGCGGCCCGTGCGGGTTCCCTGAGGGAACTGGCGGCTCTGGGTGACGGAAGGCTGTCAGAGGTCAAACCTAAGCACCCTTTTGGTTTAAAGGAAATTCATCCTTCAGATCTCTTTTCCACATTCCTCCTCCAGCCATGAGACCGAGGGTACTCTGACCGCTCTGGTCCCGGGGGCAGTTGTGGTCTCCCCGTGCGGGGAGCTTACCTTGGCCGCGTCTGTACCCCTGAACCGGGCTTGCCTCTACTGTCTCCTCGGAAACCACCCGAGCCGCTCGCTCTCTGTGTGCCTAGACATCAAAGGGACAAACTGGAGAACAGGTAGTAAGTTGGAGTCACTGCATAGGCAGGGGTCTTTGATCGCTGTGCGGCTTCTGGAAATTTTAACAGAACTTTCAGAGTGGTGTGTGGAAGACAAGAGCAGCACCGTCTGCCTCTGTGTCAAAACAGGACAAAGTCTTTAAATGTATGTGTCCCCTCTGACAAGTTCAGTTGTAGGGTCCCGCCTGCCTGGGGGCCCCAGGGGCGGGGGGGTCACTAACCACAGAGCCCCCCTCTGGGCCAGCTGCCGCAGCACGGGGCACCTCCTCCTGCAGACTGGGGGCGGGGGGTGCGGCCGACCGCTCCCGGCCCCCGCCAGCCTGCCGGTCTGCAAGGAGCAAAGGCTTGTATTTGTACGTCCACCACCGAACATTTCACACGGAGATTGTGTGAAATGAGCCGGACACCTCCAGTCCTCACTTCTTACAGCGGAGGCCACCAGAGCTCGAGGGAGGCTAGGGGAGCCGGCAGGGCGCGCAGGGCCCGTGCGGGCGGAGCTGGGGCCGGCCCCGGGGCTCCTGGCTTCTCCCTGGCTGCTCTTTCCCCTCCGCGGCAGCGTCGGACTCGCCACGAGCCAACAGCGATCTAAAAGCCCCCACCTCAGTTAAGCACTGGGTAGATGTGACCGTCCCCACAACCGTATTCTCCCCTTGGCAGCTGCCTGGCTCTGGGGCAGGTGCCCCCCAGGCGGCCGCGCAAGAACAGGCTCGAGAGACACGGAGCCCACGGCCCGCCCTGCCTGCAGGTCCGGCCGACCACAGCAGCGGCGGCTCCCGGCAGAGCGCGGACTTCTCCCGCTCGCACAACTCGGCGACTTCCTAGCGGAGCCCGCGCTGGAAGGACACACCCTTCCTGACGCCGGAGGGCCGGCCGGCAGGGCTTTGGCTCCGCGCTGCAGGCCCGCAGACCGAGCCGCGAAAGGAAGCCCTCAAAGAAGAATCGGGAAGGGAGCCTCGGCTGCAGAAGGGGCATAACATTTCTCTCCAGACAAGGTCCATCAAATAGGAGTGAAATTAGACACTTTCAGAGAGAAAACAATGAACATACTTTGAATACTCTGTCTTCTCAGAGGCAAAGTGGGTGGGTAGAGGGGCGCAGGAGAAATAGAAGCACAAAAGAACATCGTGGAGAAACGGGACCCCAGACTGGAATTCTGGTCCGCGAGCAAGTGGAGCGAACTCAGACCCGCCGCGGGCTGTGTGGGGCCCACCTGGTTCGAGATCTGCTCAGTCAAGGAAATCCAAGTGGCCATGCCTTCCCACTACTGATGCTGAAAGATCCCCGCCTCCACCAAAATCTCTGGAGGGAAAAGCAGAAGTTTTGCTTCTCTTTGGGGACTGCAATTTAAGAAATAAAAGTGATCAAGGTATTTGCACTTTGTAGAAAGGGCAAGATTATTTGCTTATTTCTGAAAGGAGGAGGGTGGCCTTTGCTGGATGTTTGGTTTGTGGAAGTTACTTTTGACAAAAATCTGATTGTAGTTATTTTTTTCCGTGTGTTTTTTTTTTTTTAATTACTAAGAATGGTGAGTTCGATAGCTTTTGGTATTTTGAGTGCAAATCATAATAGTTCCAATGTAAAAAAAAAAATCAAAATGGACCCTGTCCCTCAATGTTAGAAAATTACCTAAAATGCAGTTTAATAAATGATCTTTGTTACCAAGTGGTAATTTACATGGGGTAATGTTCTGCAAGGAAAATGTACTGTTTTTA